GATTTAGCGACGTCGAACGGCTGCTGCATATACCGTACAGCAGTGAGTGAACGCCCTACACTGTAGGCTACAGTATAAATATGGAGGCTATAATCTAGAGTGCTTTAAATACGTTACTTAACTACATAGATTAGTCTGCTGTTTTAAATTCGCAATACATAAAATCCTGTCTATCATGTTCATTGATTGGGTTAAGATGAACCGTCACTCAAAAACACTGCCCTGGGGGCTGGGCGTTTCTCATTGAAGACCATGTTTGTACCAAAATCGGGTGCAATGAAATGTATTGAATTTAAAATCAAATCAATCGTAAACATGAAAAATAATGTTGTATTGATCCGATCTGTAATAGACTATGGAAGTTTAGCATATGGTTCCGCAGCCCGGACCTCACTGGAAAGGCTAGATTAAGGAATACCTGGGATAGGATAAAGTAATCCTACCCCCCCCCCCCCAAAAAAACAACAACAATGTAAAGTGGTTATCCCACTGGCTATAAGGTGAATGCACCAATTTGTAAATCGCTCTGGATAAGAGCGTCTGCTAAATGACGTAAATGTAAATACAGGGGCAAGGACTCAGAATATGTAGTGGGGCGTTTCGGACATCCCCAGTGGCTGCATTACAGGTGGAGACGGGATATGCCATTGCAGATTATGAGACAGCAGCTGGCAATGAATTACTGGGTCAACCTACAAAGACATAGGGTGTCTCATCCTGCGAAAGGGGTTTTACAGGCATGCTGGGAACATGAGCGAAGACCCAGCACGAGTTTTTGGTGGGTGGGTAATACCCAGGCGAAGGAGATGGGACTGTATGGAAGGGAGTTTAGTCCAACGGTAGTTATTCCTGTAATTTTTTCACCCTTCCTCGAAAATATCATCTTTACATTTAACTTTATTTTTAATGTTTACGATTGATTTGATTTTAAATTCAATACATTTCATTGCACCCGATTTTGCTAGACCTGGCAACCCTGTCCTCAAACGGAAGTGATAGCCAACTAGTCCTTAAATCAGGTAAGACTGCAGTGTGTGGTAAAATTTTTCAATATTGATTGAATGTGCATAATGTCGTATTTTGCAACATTATTTTTGTTTGTTCTGGAGTCAAACACTGCCATGCAATTGTCGTGTATTGAGATCATAATAATTTTGTGAGTTGACTGGATTTAGCGACGTCGAACGGCTGCTGTATATATCGTACAGCAGTGATTGAACGCCCTACACTGTAGGCTACAGTATAACTATGGAGGCTATAATCTAGAGCGCCTTAAATTGTGTTTGAGAGCATGTTTTAACTCTAAATGGTTAAGGGATACTTCGGGATTTTGACAACGAAGCCCTTTTATCTACTACCCGAGTCAGATGAACCCGTGGATACCATTTGTATGTACAAGTATGGGTAGCTGCAGCCCAATATGGCGACCGAGTATGTTCGTCAATAGTTATCAAAGTCACTAATGCCGTTTATTTCTAAAAAAAAATTCTTCTTAAAATGTGATTGTAAACCTAACCTTAACCACACTGCTAACTCGATTCCTAACCTTAAATTAACCTTTGTATTATTTTTTTATGACATTTTACGAAATTGCCAATATTGACTTTGTGGCTGTGGAAACCTCGGGAGGAAAATGTCGTTTCTGTGGTATATGTTTTAGTCACACAGGCGCCATTTGAAACGAGGGCGAGGTGTGAAAACCGCGAATGTCGCCAGTCAAAACAACAATGTCTTCTTCGATGAGGTTTAACGGTGGTTGGCATCCAATAAATATTGCATTACCGCCACCTACTAGACTGGAGTACAACTCCCTTTTACTTTGCTTAAAAATAAAATAAAAACCCATCTAAGTTTTGTTTTTAAAAGTAGCCTTTTATTTTGCATTGTTCTGCTTTGTTTGAGCCTTTTTTGCATTATGGATTTCTACAGTTGAAGTCGGAAGTTTACAAACACTTAGGTTGGAGTCATTAAAACTTGTTTTTTCCCTCAGGAAACAATAGCAGTACAAATGTTGCATATGGCCTTTCTGTTATCTTCCTTTGAAACTTCAAAATAGATCCAAACAGCAGACATTGTGGGCTAGGTTAGGAATGCTGTGTTGCACGTGTAGCGCTGTATTTTTCGTGGCGCCATTACGTCATCTACCTACGTTATACAGGTATGCACGTCAGCTTTGACATCGGTTTTGCACATCGGCATTAAACTATACATAGAGCCGATGCCGATGTTGGCATCTTTAGCTAATATTGGCAGATTCCGATATGCTTACCGATATATCGTGCATCCCTATTTGCTATTAGGGCTGACCCCATTTAGTCGACTGGTCGATTGTTTGGTCTATAGGCTTTTGGTCAACCAAGATTTCTTTAGTCGAGCAGTAGCAAAAACATTGATTTATTTATCATGGTGTACAAGACACCTGGCTGATTCGTGCCTTTCTGAGTGGACTGATCCATTGTGGAGGCCGTGGGGATGGCACAGTCCATCAGTCTAAGATATGTGCTACTGAAATTGTATATGGTTATATTACATATGAACAAATGGTGCAACACTAATCAAAATAATATTATTTTATAACAAATGCGCCTTCTCCCGCGTTGGATAGTGGTTGCTGTCTGCGGTTCTGAAACACATCAGTGCGCTGTTGAATTGGTGCCTTTTCCTAGACCAAGTTGCTGTGTGTATAATAGCAAAGTTAACTAGCTTATTGGTGTTGAGAACAATGCTGCGGAGGCAGCAGCAGCATGAGGAGATGAGAAAAAAGCTCTTGCCTTATTGTCTAAGAAAAGTGAGGAGAGAGGAAACTTAATTAGGTCTATAATCAATAGCCTAACTGTTAAATGTGCCTGGCTTTATACAGCATCCATTTATATCTACAGAAATAAGACCGATCCTGCGTCTGTTTGTTGTTAATCTTTGCTTTGCTGTAATAAAGGCTTTACACTTTTTTTCTTCGTTAGAACAGCCTCTCTGGTATTATTTATAATTGATTTAGTGTTGTTTACACTGTTCCCAACTGTCGGAAATCATATTTATAATAATAAATAAATAAATAATATGCCATTTAGCAGACGCTTTTATCCAAAGTGACTTACCGTCATGCATGCATACATTTTTGTGTATGGGTGGTCCCTGGGATCGAACCCACTACCTTGGCGTTACAAGCGCCGTGCTCTACCAGCTGAGTTACAAATAACCCTCATTTTTCTTGATCTCCTTATTGTTATTATTATGATCATCATTATAATAATATGTAATGTCATTATCATTAGTAGGCTTAGTATAGCAGCCTGTTATAACCACCATCAAACTGTAGGCCTAAGAGTACATCCTGTTTAGTCTTAATACCTTAACTTACTTAGGCCTATATTTCAATACTTATATAGGCTACTGTATCAATCATTCATTCGTTCATGTCATCACACAGCATACGAGTCATTCATGATTTGAAATGCAATCAAGCATTTTAGTTTTAAAATAAAATAAAGCGAGCCTTGAATAATTAGCTTAAACAATAAATAAACCCATCTATTACAGAAATTACATTCACGAATGTGACCGTTTTTAGTCTTTGCTGTAATAAAGGCTTAACAAAAAAACTTTACAACAGACTCTCTGGTACACTTATAATTTATTTAGTGTTTACATTGTTCCAAACGGTCAGATAAATTATATTGTAACAGCACAATAAACACTGGTGGTCGCTGCAGCAGGGAGGAGAGAGACAACAAAAGATGCTGGTTACTCGCTGTCTTTCTTTTTAACAAGTCTGATACCAGCCCGGCACAATCAAATCAATTGCTGGTCGGACTCCCTCTAGTCATTTGTGTGTCTTAATTATTGAATCAAACGGTGTGCTTAAAGCATCAGACAAGCTCGGTGAATATAATTGATTTGATTAAAACACATGGGATATATATATATATATATATATATATGGAAAAATACACGTTTTAAAATTTCAACCAATCGATTGGTCGAAAGAACAGACGACTCTTGGTCGACAAAGATTTTTTGTTGTTGTTGGGGACAGCCGTAAATTGTAAGTCGCTCTGGATAAGAGCGTCTGCTAAATTACAAACATGTAAATGTAAGGTGACTGGTCATATTGTTATTACGTTAGGTCATATTCTTATTATGTTGTGGTTCCCACAACTGTTTTTGGGCCAGGGACAAAATACCGGTAAATAGCGGCTGTCCAGGCTGTGAGGCCAGGCTGAATATATTGGTTCACATTACACTGAAATACATGAATATTGCCACCAAATATGAAATTGCATTGAATCTAATCTTATTGTACTGTGTGTTTCAATATTGCGTATTAAACCTTTTCCCTTGTCTTCTAATAGTTTTATTCGTCCGTGACTCAAAATCTACATTAAGATTGAAGACAACAGGGATGGTGCCACTGTTATTGTTCAAAACTCCTAAGAATCCAAGGTGGTGGACCTTCTTCCAGTGAGATGGTGAGGATTGGAGAACCATGGCGCAGTTTCAAAGCAAATGTATGGTATGTTAAACATTTCGGTTGTGTAAGCCTAGTGGCTTGGCATCCTTTCATGCCACAGCTGTAGGTGTACTTGGTACCTGATAGTATGCTCTGAGTACACACCGACAATGTGTCAAATTCTTACTTTAATTATGAACCCTGATTTGAAAATTGTCTAGACATTTTTTTTGAGTCTTTGAACATAGTCAAAGCTTCCAGCTGGGGGATGGCCTTGCAAAAGCAAATGTACATGTATTTACTGACCTAAAAACATGGAAAACATTACATATTATTTCTCTCAACTTGAAACTGTCAATCGCTCCTCAATCTCAACTCTCTCTTCTCCTTTCAGATCTCCACCCTAACCCCAAACTCTCTTCATCCCTGCTTTGCCAATGTGTGCCCCCCTCACCCACCCACTGTGTTGACTCTAATACACTGGTTTTATGAAACCATGGCTGTAGATAAGACTGAAAAATATTTTTCAACAGTGATGTTTTAATTTTTACAGATAGACCTACCAATCATTTTGGTGCTTCTAAACATTGAACTCTCTATCGCATGTGGTAGAGCAGAGTACAGAATAGTTGATGAGTGCTGTCCTATGTGTTCGCCAGGTAAGGACCAGTTCTGTATACAATATGGATTATTATGAAGAAAATACATTGCAATACCAATCAATCCATGACACTGACCTTCTATTCCACAGGAAACCGGGTACATAAACACTGTACAGAATTTACAAGTACTTCCTGTGTCCCCTGTTCCGACTCCACTTTCCTTGATGAACCCAATGGTCTTACGGCATGCATACAGTGTACAAACTGTGACCCAGGCTTTGGTTTGAAGGTAAAGCAGCCATGTAGACCTTCATCAGACACTGTCTGTGGGACACTGGAGGGGTTCTACTGTCTAGACCCAACTAAGGATGGTTGTAGAGCAGCCCAGAGACACAGCAGCTGTAAACCTGGTCAATACATCAGCCACACAGGTATGTATTCATGTAAGTCTTCCATTGACATCAGTGCATGATTTATGCAGTCGTGAGTTAAGCACATCTCAAGTTACGACCCTTAATGAGTTTCACCCTGTGTTGATGCAGGAACAACATCTGCAGATACTGTGTGTGCTGACTGCACTGGTGATACTTATTCAGATGGATCATTAACATCCTGCCAGCCACACACAGAGTAAGTGTGGACATTATTAGTTAGTTCAAATGGGTATTCCCCTGAAGATATATAAATACAATCATTATTATCCTCAAATATAATATTTTAAAAACTATATTTATGTCTTTGACATAGATGTGAATTCTTGGAAATTGAAGCAGGAACTCCTTGGTCGGATTCAGAATGCGGAGTAACCTCACTTCCCACAGCTGGAACCATAGCTGGAATCATAGCTGGTGTTCTGATATGTTTCCTGATAGACACCATAGCTGGTGTTTGTTTATTTATAGTGAGAAAAAGAGAAATGGTGAGAAGAGAAAACTTTGGTAAGATTACTGGAATTTATCTGTACCATTCATTGTTTTCAATGCCTGTGATACTCAGTATACTCTGTAAATGCTACATGTTCTACTTCTCATAGTGTAGATTACTGTTTGTTAACGTCATGGTTACACAGTATGTTTATTACAATATTGGACATCTGTCTTTTTTATAGACCCTCAAATACTGACACAGGTATGTTTGGAAATCTATGAATAAGTCATCTTTTTAGCTGTGAAATTTTAATTTAATGGGCCAGTTTCCCAGACAATAGATCTCCATTGAACATGCTTCTTATTCCAAGACTGGGCTTAATCTCTGTCCGGGAAACTGGCCCAATGTGTTTGACTAATTACGGATTCTGTCTGATAGACATCCCCGGATCAGGATATACCAATGCTGTCTGAGGGAACTGGAAAAGGTAAGGCACACCTTCAAGGTTTTCTAAATATGTGTACGGAATAGTTTTTATGAGTTAAAAGAATTTCAAACATATTTCTAAATAAATGTATATGGTATATTACTTCATCAAGTCATCAATGCTAAGACATGATATGATCCAAGAATATAGGACTCTGGATACAAGCAATTGTACTACAAATCAGTGTCCAGAATGTAAATGAATTACTGATAAATTACTAATGAATTCTCTCCCCAGATTCAAGCCTCCATCACAGTCAGTGACTCAACATTCTGTAATCTGTGGTCCACTGGCTGGCTGGTCCAGCCATCTATAGTGTATTTTAACACTACATGTTAAATGTGGTATTGTAGAATCTGGTTGGTATAAAAACAGGATTCTACAGCACATTATATTGTAGTGTAAAGAAATGATACCTCCAGTAGGAAGAATATGACCTCTGGGTAGAGGATCACATTGACAATGACTATTATGTGGCTTAGTGTATGAATCATATACATTAGCTTCCACCCACACTGGAACATGTGTATCAGCTTCTGCCTACAGCCTGTTCTAAAATGAAAAGGACCATGTGATGAGGATTAGGAACCAGCATCGGTAGGTGAGAACCCTCTGCTCTGCCCAGGGGAAAGTCAAATGTGTTCATAACTTCAGGACCACAACGTCTGTCAGCCCAGACTATGGAACTCCAAATGGGACTTGATAATATCTTGAGACACAGATTACTGGATACTGGTGCAGGATGCAACCTTCGCTTGGGGAAGATGCCCTAGAAATGAGAAACAGCTTCAAAAGGATGGGAAGGAAATTCAAATGGATAACTTTACACTACAAGGACATCAACATCACGCTCATAGAAGCAGACAAGGACATCAACATCACGCTCATAGAACCAGACAAGGACATCAACATCACGCTCATAGAACCAGACAAGGACATCAACATCACGCTCATAGAAGCAGACAAGGACATCAACATCACGCTCATAGAAGCAGACAAGAACATCAACATCACGCTCATAGAAGCCGACAAGGACATCAACATCACGCTCATAGAACCAGACAAGGACATCAACATCACGCTCATAGAAGCAGACAAGGACATCAACATCACGCTCATAGAAGCAGACAAGGACATCAACATCACGCTCATAGAAGCAGACAAGGACATCAACATCACGCTCATAGAAGCAGACAAGGACATCAACATCACGCTCATAGAAGCAGACAAGGACATCAACATCACGCTCATAGAAGCAGACAAGGACATCAACATCATGCTCATAGAAGCAGACAAGGACATCAACATCACGCTCATAGAAGCAGACAAGGACATCAACATCACGCTCATAGAAGCAGACAAGAACATCAACATCACGCTCATAGAAGCCGACAAGGACATCAACATCACGCTCATAGAACCAGACAAGGACATCAACATCACGCTCATAGAAGCAGACAAGGACATCAACATCACGCTCATAGAAGCAGACAAGGACATCAACATCACGCTCATAGAAGCAGACAAGGACATCAACATCACGCTCATAGAAGCAGACAAGGACATCAACATCACGCTCATAGAAGCAGACAAGGACATCAACATCACGCTCATAGAAGCAGACAAGGACATCAACATCATGCTCATAGAAGCAGACAAGGACATCAACATCACGCTCATAGAAGCAGACAAGGACATCAACATCACGCTCATAGAAGCAGACAAGGACATCAACACGCAGATACAACCTCACTATGGACTGTATGGATCACAGAAGTGTGGAAAATACAACATTTCAGGAACTATCCTGAACTGCTTCCCCTCCTATCTCACATATAGGTGAGAATAAGTATTGTAGAAGAGTGCAGGTCCACTCAGTCACCTGTGGTGTCCCACACCCTGGTCATCCTCTGCCTACTTCCACTCAGTTATGTTAATCAGGTGACTTAGGGTCCTCTTCCACAGTTTTGAAGATGACATGCATGTCTACATCAAAAACGGCCCCAAATCCCTCAAGGTACAGGCTTGGTTGAAGCTCAACATTCTACATGTGAACAGAAGCCAAACTGAAGCCATACCAAGTTGTCACCCCACACTTTCAAGTGCATCCACAGCCTGATTAGCCAGGAATATTCCAGAATGCACTATATTAAATCTGCTCCAAACAGCTATAAAGTGCCTTTCTGTGTGCTGTCCTCTCTGTTCTAGACTGACGATGTAAAAAGGGCTTAAAAAATATATATTTATTAGATTTATTAGGCTTTATAAATTAATGTCATTGATTAATTTCCCATCTTTATTTTATATACCCATAGCTAGAGCTTTGCATTACCTCAAGAGGCCGATACAGCACCTTCTCACACCATGTGTGAAACAATTGTAACGTACTCATCTAAAGTAATTAGTTAATTAGTTTTATCAATCAAAATAAATACCATCGTAAAAATAATGAATTGATTGTGTTAAACACACAGTATATATTTTTCCAACATGAGGCTGTGGTGTCTGAAAATATGTTGCTAATTATGCTGTGATGATAAGAAGTCCGCTAACGCTGTACTTTGATTATAAAGGTTTATTGTATCCAAAGAGTTTAGCGTCAATTTACAGACATCTGCAGATATCTGGAGAATAACCGCCCAATCTGTTAATATGTTGTTTTCTCCCCGTCCTTTGTTCAAAACATGGTATTTATATCCTATGTAACATAATATGGCGTGATTTTAATAGACCAATCCCTGGCCTTCACATATCTCCAAATGTCCTCTATTCCAAGAAGCCTATGTAGTAGTGCTTTCCAGATGTTTCAGCAAAGCAGAGTAAAGTTCATCTATTGCACAATTTGCAAATGTCAGCAAAATCATAGACCTTAATCATGACACTACAAGGCATTAATAAGTTAGATTTAAGCAATAAGGCCCGAGGGGGTGTGGTATATGGCCAATATACCACGGCTAAGGACTGTTCATATGCACGACGCAACGGCATTCAGGGCTCAACCACCAAGTTTATAATTTTCAATCATCAATGGGCATATATCATGAATTTATACATCCAAAAATTGATATAGCAACTGCCGATTGCCCCTTTTAAGATATCAATGGCAAACAAACTTTAAATTGTATGAAAATCTGTTGATATTGGCCTACCCCCTTGGGAAGAATATGCAACTGCACTAACTATTGGATTTACAGCCTACCTGTCCTCAAAATGTGAAGTTATCACATTTACTATGTCCCAGTTAAATTGAAGAGGTTAGTTGACTAGAGGAGAAATGTAACAGCTGGTTACAGAGATAATTATATTTCTGGCACCATGTTTGTCCATCACAGTCTTTATCAGTTGACTACTACATAACTACAGGTTTCGCTACAATCTTTTGCGTCCCCAACTGTTTACAGAAATATGAGGTAGGCCATAAGATACACTAGAGCTTCTGCTGTGACTTCAAAATCATCAAATGACCAGTCAAGCTGTCAACATTATCCAGCAAGTTCTTTACAGAAAAAAAAGTGGTATAACCAAAGTTTTACACTGGGCAATAAACCCAATTGGAATAATATACATTTTATTTAGAGGGGAATGTTGTCTAATGTTGAGGGATTTGTACAAAAACTGAGTCAGTTTTACAGACATTTGTCCTGAAAATGAACACAACTAAAATTATTTTGATTTTTTTAAAATATGATCTACTAAATGTTTATCTAATGGATTTACATCTTGAAGGTTAAATATAATACTGTAAGATATTAAATTAAATGTGGTTTTGCCAAACAATGTACACTTCCTGTGTTTATTATTTGAAATGCATGGAGGACATCTACAAAACAAAAACAGGCAATATTTCATGCTGTTTTAAAGCTTGCAAATTGTAATGCCCACCATTCCTGGGTAAATGCTTCTATTAGCATGGGAAATTACCATATTTATTATTTTAGTAAATATTGCACATTTAGAGCACTACTGAACTGTAAGTTAAAGCATCACTATTAAACCAGACTGCTACAACATTATTGACCTCATGAACTCCTGAATGTCACTATTCTATGAATCCAAGTCAGAGGGTTATTAACTGAGACTCATTCTGCAAAAGCATTTTAATTTCATAAAATGCACACTAATAACATTACATGACTGCCCTCTAGAGGTTACCCCAAATGAAATCAGTGGTAAATAACAAGGCAGGAAGCATGTGAAAGACAACCGTTTAGAATGTCCTGGAGGACAGGAGTATAACACAACTAAACCGTCAAGCAGGGACGGCTTGTTCAATAGGGCGATATGGGCGACGCACTGCCAAACGGGAAAAGGAAGGGATTTTTTTTCTAATCAATTATATCACGGCAACAGCAGTTATCAGTGTTCACGTCTGATCTGCCAGCCACTAAATGTCAAATCAGGCTAAAGTCGTGCTTCAAATGGCCCCGCCCGTTTTTTGGGGCGATTTCAGTCAGGTTGAAAATCGCCCAGAAGTCTCTCATAGCCTGTCATGTAAAATCTATTTTTTTCACATTTCAAAGCTTTCAATACATTCTCTATGGGTGTCTGTGGGCATGCACTTACGCGCTTTCGTCATACGTGACGTAACGTTGAACGTAACTAAGACAATGGCGGCTAGCAGCGTCTATGTTGCGACCTGCAGTGTGGCGTTATTTTATGTTTTTAATTTGTAGACTTAGTTTACAAACATTCTGCAAACATTCTGCTTTGGACTGATCTTCGGTTTTGGACTGATCTTGTTGATCGTGTACATACCCGCTACGAACGGACTAAATAATGAAAACGCTGCTGGCAGCGGAATCCCAATACAGCTGGGAGACTTGGCTGGATGACAGAGTCCCGGACAGAGAGGTGGAGCCGGCCGGCTTCACCCTGGTCAGAGCGGACCGCGATCCTGGTAAGAGAGCGACTCTGTACCCCGACATTGAACTGCTTTCTGTGTCATTGAACCTTACTATTGTTGATAAAACAAGTTTACTGGAGAACGGAGACCAAGTAGAGACTTTTGGACAAGGTGGATAATTGTATAATATAAGGCAGTTTATTCAGAGGTAAAGATATCTGGAATCGCGTGCACGGACCCGTTCGTCAAACTCGTAGGGAGTTTATCAGAAGAGCCCCTAAACATTGTGTGCTGACATTTTATACAATAAAATGAAGTAGGTTGAATCTAGTAGTTCTGATCTTCTGATTGGTCCTGATGAGTTGGGCGAGGTCACCTCCAGGCTAGTGTCACTGTTGCATTGGCTCTGAGTCGGGTTCTCTGTCTTCAGATGTTCAGCCTAAGAGAAGAGGATTTGTGTGTGTGTGTTTGT